CATAGGTGTAAAGAAGGAAGCCATATCCCTTTACTCATAAATAGGCTAATAAATGCATACATAGAGGCATGCATTTAGTCACACAGCCATGCTCACAGTCACACAATATGTTCAGTTAAGAGCTGCTAGGATGTGTGTGTACAACTGTGACTGACTGCTGATTCTTCTTGCAGGGATTTGACTTTACATTAGGTCAGTTTTTACAGTAGGTAAGTATTTTTTTTCCTATCAATGAAACTCTGAATGAAATGTATAATGGCACAAATGAACTAGAAATACTCCCTGAGCTTTCTGTGAATGAGTTTATACTCAAACAGAGGTTAGTGGATAACACTTAACTCTGTAGCTCTTCCATTTAGTACTCTATAAATCGTCGTCAAAACAGCTTCCTATTGGTTAACAACGCAAACTTGTTGGTCATAATTCACCAAAGTTAAACTCAACTAAAAAAAGATGTTTGTGAATTTTTACTTTACCCATGTGAGTTGTTTCATTAATTACTACAATTCCAATGGAGAGACTTGATTTCACCATACAATGCCAGTGAATGTATCTGCAGGGAAGCACTTCCAATTGTAATTGGATGCAGCTGGCACATTAAAGGTACATGCTAGTAGTTTATACAGTACCAGTTAAGTAGCATGAGTCTTTTTTATACTATGATAAAATGTAATAGTAATTTCTCTACAAAATATGACTTATGTGCTAGCAAAAAATTATTTTCTGACTTTATTCTTCTCTCAAAATATCTCACTGCTTGCACAAAATTGAGGCACAAATATAGTTCTGTTGTATACTGTATAGATTTATATGTGATTTGTTTTGTGCTAATAGTAGGGTATACTGGAGCAAATGCTGACAAGCTAACCTTGTAACCTTGTAATTAGCTTCATTCTACATTTTTTGACAAGACAAGCAGTAAAGAGATGGAGCAGTAGCAAGTAGGCTAATAAAGCTTGACACATACCACTGTGATCTAATCTAATTTAGATTAGACTAGTCTAGTCTATTCTGAATTAATCAAAATTGTGATAATTTGTCTAGGGAAGTCTAAATATTTCTAATATATTCTAAAATAAACAGGTTTGAACCAGAATTATAATGTAATATATTTTGGTCTTGCCTAATTCAGTCTGATTTAATTTAATCAAATCTTGTTTGCTGTGGTGTCACCTAATTTTCTATTAATATATTATAACATAATCAAGTCTGATTTAAACAAATGTAGTCTGGTCTAATTCATCTAGTCTGTTTTAGTCCAATTTAATGAAACCTAGTCCAATCTAATCTAATCTAATCTAATCTAATCTAATCTAATCTAATCTAATCTAATCTAATCTAATCCAATCTAATCTAATCTAATCTAATCTAATCTAATCCAGTAATCAAATCAAAGTAAACTAAACTAAAGTAAACTAAATCTTCCTGTGTGGAAGTGTTACCTGTGTTTCTATGGTCTGATCCAACAGGAACTGGAATGAACACTGAGGTCCTGCTGTAGCAGAGGCCCCTCTGGCTTGAACCACTCTTCTCCCAGGGAGGATATCACACATTTTGGAGTGTGTTTGTGTGTGTATATGTGAATGTGGGAAGTGTGTATAGGAGTGTGCAAGGTGTTAGGGGTTATAATTGAAAATTAGGGGAATTATTAGTAAAATTATTTTAGTGTTAGCAGGTCAAGGTGGCAGCAGGAAAATGAGCAGAAATATTGAATGAAAGATGAGAGACAGCAAGCAGTGAGATGAGCATGAAATAGAAAAGGAAAAAGAAGAATAGCAGCAGTAAGAGAATAGGGCAAAGGAAAGATGGTAAGACAGTAGAGGAGGTACACAAAAGAAATGATGAAGAATAGAGTGTGGGGAGGAGAGAGAGAGAAAGGTAGAATGTTAGTGAATTGCATGAGAAAATATACTATATAATGAAATAGAGTGATAGAGTGAGGAAGAGACATGAAGAAGCCTTATGTGATGCTTGACAGCAGAGAGACACTCATCTGTCTGTACTGCCAGATTCAATTCTAAAGACTTAATAGTCCAGGTGATATGTGCCAAATTTGAGGTGATATGAAACTTGGTACACTTGTACAGTTTGGGGCTGTGAACATTTTCAGAAATGGAGCCATCACAAAAATGCCTTGTAGCGGCCATGATGGCCATTTTACTTTCCGATAGCCTATTATGTATTTGCATAATATCTCCTGAACCAAACACGATAACATAGAAAAGTTTATGTTTACCCCTCCGTTCTGATGGTCAAGGGTTACAACAATACCATATATAACATCATAACTGTTCACTTCAGTGATAATGTGAGAAGGAAATCACAGTATCTGAGAACCTAGCCTAGACATTATAATACCATGTCTGTTGCATGCATGTCTTGTTCATTAACCCTGACGATACAGTGACTATAAATAGTAGAATAATATTAAATATGACCATAACAACTTAGTTTAAAAAGAATGTGTCAAATGCATTTACTTCAAAAAATCCATTTCTGTTTCTGTCTGTGGGTCCCGAAAAATCCAACGCCCTGAAAAATATTTCCACATATCACCTGGACTGTACATAAGAAACACAGAAACAGATTTAAATATTTGTAACGTTAAAATGTTGCAAGAAAGTTCCAGTTAGGTGTAAGATGTTAGAGCTTTAAAGGATGATTTTGTATTTTTCTTACTGTCAGCAAATCAAATCCATTAAAAGACCATAATTAACAATGAATTGATTCTAAGTTTTGCGTATATATCTAATTCCTCTGGACCATACAGGCTTAATTTTTGTCCAAAAACTATTTAACATACAACAATGAGCCTAACTGTTACACTGTGGCATGTTCCTTCATTACCATGAACACACACACTGTAGTTTATCTTGGTTCGGGCTACGTCCACACTACTATGTTTTCATCTAAAAACAAAGTTTTCAAACGAAAACGATCTCTGTCCAGATGACCGTTTTATCGTTACCGTTACCGTTTTTTCCATGTCAATAACGATCTCCATCCATACTAACACACCTGAAAATGAATATCGCATGACCATTCATGTACACTGATCATGCACGAGCCAGTGTAAGCAGGAAGCAGATTGTCTACTTGGCAGTTGATTAAAGTTAAAATGCAAAATTAACAACAGATTCTAGCAAAGACAACACGGTCAGTAACACTTGTAATTCCTTATTCATGTTGCATTACCACTGGTAGTCGAGGCTGATGAGACCCAATCAGAGAGAGACCGTGGGTGTCTACTTCATTGTTTACAAAGGTCTCCATTTTTGCCCGTCCAGACTACAACACAACCCCAGAGTTTTCAAACTAAAATGGGGCTAGCAGTGTTTCCAAAAGTCTAATTTTTCTGTGCTCAAAAACTCCAGAGTAGTGTGGACAAGCCTCAGTCCCACACTTTTACTCCCCAATAATTTCCTCCTATTTCAGTAACGATTGTTAAAAACTATAGTGTACAGCTATAGGTGAGGCAATCCATACATTTGCGCAGGTCCTAAGTAGCAATTATCAGCATAAGAAATAAAAAAGCAATACCAGTACTCTTTTGTACTTTCTTTGTTTACTTGCTTTGACCTCTGGAAGAGCAATTCTGGACAACCATTTGTGGACTAAATCTGTTAGTCCATGTAGAATAAATGACATACTATAATCAGAATACTTTACTGACCGCACACAAGGAAACTGAAGTTTCCAAAAAAGAATGCAAGAACAAATGAATATAATACATCAGTAACTTTAATTTAAAAAATGTATATGTCAGAGCTTTTCCTTAAAAAACAAATGCACAGCATATATACATAGTAACTAAAAAGAAACCTGTGAGAAAACTGCACTCACAGGAATAGAATCAGGTAGGTGGTGGGTAAAGTGTCTATTGTCTGCAGATGTTTTGAGCATGAAACAGATACTACACTTGTAGCAGCAAAATCTAAGTGTTTGAATAATGACAACTTATGGTCCAGAGGAAGATTTAGAAATTAAGCAGCAATGCGTGGGTTACTTATTTTTAGCAATTTGTTAATTCATCCATCCACCCCAATCTACTCCCTACAAGAATTTATGGTGCTAATAACATCATCACAACACATCATGCTCATGACAAATGTCATAATTCACACAGTGACTAGAGGTCCATTTGAACAAACAATTGATGCTAGTCTTCTTTCGTTATTTTGGGGATTTGTTGACAGTAAAAAAATAGAATAACACCAATGAGCGACTGTTGATCCACCTCGGTGCAGAATCTGAATATTGAATTCTTTGACCACAACTCACGAAAAACTGTCAGGAATAGTTTTGTGTTCCACTACAGTGAATCCAGTCACTTCCACATCAATGCATATGGTAGTGCTGCAGCAACCTCTGCAGTACCTCTGCAGCACTTATGCAGGATAAATACATGAAGGGGACCTATTCTACTATTGTTGCAGTTTGAAGGAGTGAATGAGCAGAATCACTGGATCAAAACATCAATGCCATTCAGTGCACATTGATATGTTATTAGTGACACAGGGAGAGATCTGAAGGGAGTGATACTGAGCCATCACTCAAAATGACAGAGGAACAAGGGGAAATGTGATATGTGTTTATGTGTGTTGATTTTACCTAAGCATGAAGAATTTGGGCTTCTTCAGTGATTTGATTTTGAAAAACACTTATAATTAATATATTTTTATGACATCTGTATGGTGTGCATGTGCTTTTGCATCAACTTTTTGCTACAGCTGTATGTGTGTTTGTGTGTGTGAGTTATATTCTATAGGTGCAGAGGGGTCGAGACATTATCATGAACACCAGTAAATGCATTTTTATATTGTTGGGTGTTCCTATTATTTTGTCCTGTATGGGTATAATTGGATATCTTTGCTTGGGAGTCTGACTGTTACATCCGTGTGGATGTTTTTTCAGCCTGCTCACATTATCTGTATAAATCAATCAAGACCATGCATCAGGCGACCCCCCAACCCAAATCCTCCACCCCTCAGCACTCCTACCTTTACGAACGTTCCCGTCTGTCGTGCGCTGGAACTCCCCAGCGCTCAGCAGGAAGCAGGCCCGGTCATGTGGGTAACGCTCGCGACTAGTGGTGGAACCAAGGCCCGCGGTGGCCGGGCTGCGCTCGTCCCCAAGGACCTGGTCGATGGTGGGGCAGTCCTCATTGGCTAAGGCTGCTGCGTTGGCCGCCGTGTCACCATTCTGCTTGGAGTCTGGGAGAGGGGACAAATGCATGGGTAGTGGAGAGATATGGGGCAGCAGTGGAGGTAAAGAAAAAAAAGTGGTAGAAATGAAAGGAGAAACATTAACAATGGGTACAGCAAACAAAATAAGAGAGGCATAATTGATAGGAGAAAAAAAAGAGAGATACCAATTTGAAGTAGGGAGAAAGGGGATACTTGGGGTTGGGTGAGTGGGGGGCACAGTAAAAGAAGAAGAGAAGAGGGGAAGGTAAGGTTGAGAGCATAAGAGAGATGAAAATGCAAAAAGGAGATAAGTCCAGATTTGGTGAGGAGTGACTCAGAGGAGGACAAGGAGAAGCAAGGGAGGAGATGAGAAACAAGCAGGAAAAAGAGAAGTGGTGGAGAAAAACAATTAGAAAGCGAAAGTGATATTAAAGAGAGAAAAGACAGAATCATAGACAGGAGAAGGAAGGAGGAGGATTGTGTAAAGGAACATTAGTAGTATCTTAGTTATCTTGACCACTTGACCAACAGACTGCAGCAGGGCAGGCTGTACACACACATCATGTACTCACACACAGCATCGAATGAGAGAGATTAAACAAAGAAGTGAGAGAAGAAGAGAGAAAGTGAAATATAAACTGTGCTGCACACACGCACGCGTGAACTTCTATCTTTGTGACGACACTCATTAACATAATGAATTCCCAAGCTCCTTACCCAAACCTAAACCATCACAACAGATGCCTAAATCAGGAGATGGCTACAGGGTAAACAGAATTTGTAGTTTTCAGCTGAACTGTCAAATATTATCTGATATATGACCTACTGTTCAACAGTTTCAGGTACACACCAGAGGGGTGGACACACACACACACACACACACACACACACACACACACACACACACAAACACACACACACCCATATTCAGATGATAGACATGTTCATTAAAACAGCAGACCAGAGATAAGATGAGATGGCGTGGATCAATGTTTTGACAGTCAGAAAATACTGTAAATCTGTAAAGACCCAATCCAGGATTATCAGAACATGTCAACCTCGGCAGTATGGCATCTGTCTGGGAGAAGAAAGAGATGTATTGTCAAGAGAGAGTAATAAGGTTTTTTTCAGCTTTAGCATCCTGTTGTAAATTAAAATCTATTTTAGTGTACCCCACTCTAAGGAAAATAAGGACAGCAGTAAGTTATTTACAGCTTCAAACCCTGTTAGATACACACTTCCCACATCAGTTTAGTGCTTGAAATCTGACCTCCAGTTGATGAGAAAGTGAGAAATTTTGACTGTTTTGTATTATTATTTTTGTTAAGGCCACTCTATTAACTTTAGAATTTGGAGCTCTGTAAGTATTAAAGTAAGGAAAAAGAGATGTTTGATCCAAAAACAAACTGTGTCCAAAACAATGTCCAAGCCTGTAGCAATACACAAGCATTTCAATGACCTCTACAGTTCAACAACAACCACATTCCAATGCTCACATCAAATTCAAGCCATATACAGTGTCCAATGAAATTCAAGGATTGTAAATTTTGGTGGTTAGAGGTAAAACATAACATTGGTTAGGGTTAGGGTTAGTCAATTGGTTGTTGAAATTATATTATAAGGTTCTATCGTCATTCTCAGTTCAAATGTTTTAACATCCCAGATAGGAAAATTGATATACAGTAAAGTACACTTTTTTGTGTCAAAAAGCAAGCATCCTATATGCAATCTAAACATATAATATCACAATCAGATTTTTGAATGGGTTAAAAACAGGTTTTAAAACTGAGAAAGTTATATCTATTTAGGCAGGACTGAAAAAAGTCAGGGGTAGGGCCGCATTGTGCTGGTATGGTTTGGGTTAACTCGTCCCCTAGAAGGGAAGGGTCACTGCAAATCAATACACAGTTGTTGTAAGTGATCCCCCTTATTTTAAAATGAAACATTTCTATCCTCATCAGAGTGGTCTCTTTCAGGATGACTATGTATTCACAGGCCACGAGGAGTCACTTAATGGTTTGTTGAGTATTAAAATGATGTGAGTCATATGCTGTGGCCTTCACGGTTGAAAGTTGAACACCTATGGGAGATTTTGGAGCAATGTGTTAGACAGAGCTCTCCACCACCATCATCAAAACACCACATGAGGGAACAGCTTTTTGGAAGAAGAGTGTTCCTCCTCCAGCAGAGTCCAGAGACTTGGATAATCAATGCCAAGGCACATTGAAACTGTGTTTGTGGCTTGTGGTGGAACAACAACTTACTACAACACTTGATGTTGGTTTTTATTTAATTGGTGACCCATCTGTACTTCTTAGTTGAATACCTATGGCATATTTGAAAATGTCAGTTCAGGCTCTGATGATGGGCATTTTTAACAATTTTTTGACAGTTGAGAGACAGATTATTATATTATAATAATCAGAAATTTCCATCAAGAGGTTTGATTCTCGGATTAAGAGAGAAATCTGAGGGTATACATTTAAACTAGAGACGAAAGATTTCTACAGATTTGCTTTGCTTCCCATTAGCACATCTGTTGTTCTCAGCAATTCAGCCGATTCAGTCTGACATGCTGGGACATTTTAATAAAAATATGGTACTTTCTGCTGTTTTTCATTTTCCTCATCATATCAACACACTTTCAAGGCCCACTGGAACTTCAACATACTACATACTTTTACATGATCTTAATTCTGTTCAATCACTCACCTGCCCTGTTGATCTCGATGATCTCCTCCTGTGCCAGTGGGCAGTCTCCAGTACCCATCATGCTGCCAGATCCTACCATGCCCGGCCCTAGCACATTNATGGTACTTTCTGCTGTTTTTCATTTTCCTCATCATATCAACACACTTTCAAGGCCCACTGGAACTTCAACATACTACATACTTTTACATGATCTTAATTCTGTTCAATCACTCACCTGCCCTGTTGATCTCGATGATCTCCTCCTGTGCCAGTGGGCAGTCTCCAGTACCCATCATGCTGCCAGATCCTACCATGCCCGGCCCTAGCACATTGCCCATCAGCCTGTGCGGTGAGGCAGTTGCCATGGCCAGGGCATCCGGCTTGCAGTAGTTGGGGCTGCCTGGCTGTGGCGCTCGGGGGATGTGCTTGTTCCTCTTCTTGGGGAGCTTCTGCTTGGCCATGGCCAGGGAGTAATACATGCCAAAGTTGTTGACAATGACGGGCACAGGCATAGCAATGGTCAGCACACCAGCCAAGGCGCAGAGGGCACCCACCAGCATTCCTGACCATGTCTCGGGATACATATCTCCGTAGCCAAGTGTGGTCATGGTCACTACAGCCCACCAGAAGCCAATTGGGATGTTCTTGAAGTTGGTGTGGGCTGCAGCCGTTGGATCATCTGGGTCAGCACCAATGCGTTCAGCGTAGTAAATCATGGTAGCGAAGATGAGGACGCCCAGTGCCAGGAAGATGATGAGCAGCAAGAACTCGTTGGTGCTTGCCCGCAGAGTGTGGCCCAAGACCCGTAAACCGACAAAGTGGCGGGTGAGCTTGAATATACGCAGGATACGGACAAAACGCACCACACGCAGGAAACTCAGCACATCTTTGGCTGTTTTGGAGGAGAGGCCACTCAGCGCTACCTCTAGGTAAAAGGGCACAATGGCCACAAAGTCTATTATGTTAAGGGCGCTGCGGAAGAACTCTGCCTTATCAGGGCAGAAGATGACGCGCAGCATCACCTCAATGGTGAACCAGATGACACAGACGCCCTCCACATATGTCAGCCAGCCATCTGTGACCACCTCATACACTATCTGCAGGGTGGAAGAAAAAAAATCAAGGGTAAGTTAATTTGATCATGCCTTTACTCATTCATTTATTCATTCATGAGGTATATATCCAGAGGCACAATACCATGTTCCCCTGGACATATGGTTCCACCATCTAACTGTTATATGCGTTTATGCTTTATAGTCCCACTGTTTTTCACTTACTGTACTTCTTGTACATTTTCTTTAGCAATTCCTCTCTTGTATGGGAGTAAGTGATGCACTGATCAGCTCTGATGTCATCTGTATCCACAATAATTTCATCATATTTTATACATTATTTAACTCACTTGCAACCCATCAGCTGTTAATAGTGCACGCAGATATAACTGCAATCTGCACATCACTAATGGGTGTAAATAAACTCTGTCCAATAAAAATACATAACTCGTATTAGGGTGATCCTGACCCCCTCCATCACGTATACTTATCTTCTCTCTTAATATGAGGTTCATGTTTTCTGGTCATGGTCCCTGAGAAATAAGTGTAGTAAACTATATACTATAAGCTATAAACTATAATTACTAAAAATATAGTCTAATGTAAAACTAAATAGACCTGAACAATGATCAAAGTGTTCGAGGTGTTTATGGAGCAACGATGCATCTAAAAACCAACACATGTGAAACAACACGACATCAGGGCGTTTTCTCTTGGACATTTGGGGCTTTGGAAGGAAGATAATTTAAGGAGCTTCGGATGCTTTTACCTTATCATAGATAGGGCTATAGCAAAAATAGGATGCTTTGTATCTATTTGCTCATAAGAGATAAATTGTCAACAGGATGACTAGACTAAAAATTAGGATATCTCAAGCCCTTCTGTTTCATTCATTTTTTAATTCTTTCTCTAACATATCTCACAACTTTATCAAAGAGCAATACTGATTTTGCTTAAGTGACCTTTTAAGTCAACCTTAACATATGGTAAGTCTAACAAACCAATCCACTAAAACTTCAACTGTACCTCCTACATGTGTCATGTTGCCATTGGTTACATTCTCCGTTTTGTTTGTAGATTGTGTTAAAGGCTTCATGGGTCTCCAGGCAGAAAGTGGAGATGGAGAGGAGGATGAAGAAGAGTGACCCAAACGCCACATACTGGCAGAGAGAGAAACAGAGGGTTAGGGAAATGTGACAGTTTGCATGCAAGCATCTAATCTCCTTTTACTCAAGTAAAACTATACCAACCAACATTCTTCTGCAAGTTTCAGCCTCTGTCATT